TGATTAACCTGATGCTTCGTTATGTCGTGACAATTTTCCGACTCACTTCACACGTACCACTGATTCCCTTCATTTGTGTTTCTTCTCAGAATCCCTACTTTCTTCACTTTTTCATCTCGCACTTTCAATGCACGTAGACTTTTCATAGAGATGATGATGTATGCAAAACGATTTGCCACAATAATGCACAATTTTCAAGGTGCAACATTTTATCAGTGCATTTTCTATATTGCTTCAGAAAATTCATCACAACATAACGGTTCTCAGTGCCGTCTTATGCACCCGACTCGAGGTAAGACCTCTCAAGCTTCACAGCCATTCTGAAACGAAAGCAATCAACAAACACATCATTTCCAAATCGCCAGTGCTCCCACGATTAGATCGGATGATTAAGGATCAATTACCATCAAAACAAATTTTAAATTCAAATTTCGTCGTCGAATTCCATCCCAAATTCCAAATGTTTCGCTTTTTTAAATTCAAATGATGCAATTCGCATGATATTTCGAAGATATGGACACAAGTCATTTGCGATTTATAATATAAATGTACATTAGGAGGGGAATTTTTTGTATGAAAAAGAATAAAACATTGGAAAGTACAGTTACCAGCTCAGAAGAATATGCCTTTTCGTCTGAAAGCGGTCCGTCTGGAACTTCGCTCAAAAAATGAATTTGAGAAGTAATTGAGCTAAATTTTCTTTCGCCCCAGGTGCAATATTGCACGGTATACGAATTCCGGATGTTTCTGGGTCTCACCCTCCCAAAATCATGTTTTTTTTTTTAAATTGGAAACAATCTCTGCAAAAGTTCTTCGAAAAAATATGTTGTAAAGTTGTACCAGCTACTTTAAAAAACAATTGGATGCAGCGACCTTTTACGTTTCTCGATGGAAAACTAATTCTTCGAAGCAAAATTGTGCACGGCTAGTTTCCAAACCGAATGGCTTGTCCCTCTGCGATGGGACCTTAGACGTTGCGACATGTAAAAGAATTAACCAATCGTTCTTTTCTGAGCAAGTACGTACGTATTTGCACTGTTGTCACTTTCACTTAGTGATTGCTTAAGAATAATATCTTCTTTCATCATCACCCGCTTTGGAACGTTTCGCCATTGAGAGTCAGTCCAACATTTCCATTCTGGAAATATAATTTCAAATGTTCATCTTTTAATTTGGAATATTTTCTAGTCTTGCACATTTAATTGAATGTAGATAAGATGCTTTCGATATTGTTTGCTAAAGAATGGGGCATTTAAACGTACATAATTTAATTCGTTCAATCAATTAATCACCCAATTTATTTGTAGAGGTGATGAAGAGTATGCAAATATTGCTCATAAGCAATTAAGATGATAGAATATTATATTCAGATTATTTGACATTTATTTTCTCGTTCCCAAAATGAGACGTTGCACTTTATTAGACTTTATAGTGGCAGACTGTTCTCATGCTTCAGAGCATGGCAGGGTATAGTGGCAGTGTTTAATCGCGATCACGGTCGTCCTCTATGATAATTTTCAGAGGTCCTCTGAGAGGTCATCTTAAAGTCTCACATGAACATCTTTCAAATTTACAGCCAAAAATAATTTACGATTNNGCTAGCCTATTTTCCGTTGATCACTATTTAAAACGGTGTTCCAGTCTACGACAAACTCGTTCCACGACCAAACTCCTCGAACGATTTGTGAACGTGAACCAAGATTCAACAGTACAGTGAGAGGTGATGCATATTCAGCTCTTTCGTGAGGTCGGAACTCCGATGAGGTTCGCTTCAGTTGAATAAAGGGTTGATTTCATCTCGCACAGGCGATTCGAATGAAGATATTTTAAAAGGTCGAAACTTATTACACCTTAGAGAATCCCGCGTTCCCATTTCAGCAGCATGGTTAAAGGATGGAAAACATCAAATTTCAGGCTAGCTAGATCTACATATGTGCTAAATTAATGATGTCTCTGTATCACCTTTTTGAGAACTGTTCTATTCTATTTTATTCCGCTCTTAAACGGCTCTATTCTATTCTATCCTGTGCGTTCCTCGTTTGAGAACTGTTCTATTCTATACCATAGTATAGAACAGGAATAGAATAGTTTAACTGGAATAGAGACATCACTAGTGCCAATTAGCCTAAAGCGATTAATGAATGAAAAATTCATCAAGCATGCTTAGTGAAGTGAAGTTGGAGTGAAAAGTTGTTTACGAGGTCAGCGAAAAAGACGTTGAAGATGAGGACATAAAAAAGGTTTGATGACAACCGTTTGTGTAAAATGGCCTTCTGGATCGGAATGTCATTAGGATGATGAATAAGCCATTGAAGTTTATGAAACGTAGCTAATGAATATCCGACGTGAATTCATGATGAGCACTGTTTTATTCACTTGTTTACAATTGTTTCCACTGATGAATTCGATAGTTGCATATTCAATTTCACTACAGTTTAACTTCTTAGTGCATATTCAGTCAACGACAACATTACATCAAAGTCATTCCATCGAGTTCATCTCATATGATAAGAATTTGCAATCGGTTAAAATAATGTTGAGGTCAATAAAGAGAAGAGTTCATCGTCAGTGCAACTATTGTTCACAGTTCTCATGCAATTAACGAAATCGATCCGATTTGCTGAATTCGATCAAGCAGATTCTTAGCAATGATATTTCGTTGAGTCTCATTTGTACTGTCATAAATCTGAAATATTTTCGCATCTCGCAGTAATTTCTCAACTCCATATTCACGATTGTATCCATTCGCTGCAATTAAATTAATGTTTCTCGTTGTTTTACAGAACTTGAAGAACAGAGGAAAAAGTTCCTCTGATATTAGGCTAAAAGGTTATTTTATTATTTTTGTTTCTTGCTGTTTGTTTTAACTGCAATAATATCGGACAAAAACAGTAAAAAACGAATTTTTCAGTGCAAGGAGTCGATTTCGTGAATGTTGTGAATTCTTGCTGTTTTCTACTGAAGAGAGATGCACTAATACTCTTTAATGTTGTTCATTTCATCAACCTTTGATGTATACGACAGGTGAATCTGTGAGAGCGTTGATCTATGAGATAAAATTAAACACTGATCGATAAGAGCTGAAATCTAAAATGAACCTCCAAGAATCTGAACAGCACTATTGGCAGCCTTATTTGCCGCATCACCAGCAAAACATTTCGCTAAAGTCGAGTAGTAGCCGTGACTAACGCCAGTCATTAATTCCCATGCACTGCGATAGGTCAGCATTCGTGACAATTCGTTATTGATAGCCATATCCGCTAGCAACATTTGTATCGCCTTAAATCACAGCAATGATGATCGATCTCGAAAATTTCTTCCATTTTCGATTTACTCACACGAGAATTAGCCTTATAATTATTACACCTGTAGTATTCTCTCGATTCAGCATAAATAGAATCAATTCAAATTTGATAAGGAATGCACCAAAATGAGTGCATTAATTCAGCACCTGATGCTCACAAACCGGTATACCAAATCTTTTCTCTTCCAAAGCGTATTTGATGGCTTCATCAATGCATCGAGACTGCAATCCAGTTGCCAATGCAGCGATACACGGTCTAAATGTTCGTATGAGTTTAGTTTAATCAATGAGATGAAGCTAACCGTTGATTAATGAGATGAAAGTAGCTGTTAATTAATGAGATGAAGATAACTGTTAATTAATGAGATGAAGCTAATCGAAAGTGAACC